TACCAATGTCCTATTAAGTTTAATTTCTGCTGGTATTATTTTATTTTATTTTACTTTACTTTATATTTTTTTTATTTTGCTATTAGGCTTCATTTCTTTTATTTTTATTTTTTTCATTATTATTTTTTGTTTGGGCTTAATTTTTTTTTTTTTTGCTTTTTAATTTCATTTTTCAGTACTTAAACATAAAAATAAAAACAAATCAAAATACAAATATTTAAAAAACCCCTTTATTTTTTTACGACCGCATGCCGATCAAAATAAACATAAAAAAAAAACAACACCCTTCATTTTTAAAAAAAAAAAAAAAAATGATCTTATTTACTCGCCTTTTCCATCATTTCCTTTTTCTTTTTATCATCTCGGGCGACCCTTGACGCGCCTGCCCCCGTGTTTTCGTCGAGGGCGACGACTCCCCGCTGACTATCAAAGGCCAAGAACGACGTTGCTCCAAATCGAGCTATGGAGGTAGTCTTTCATTTAAGCTCTTTATTTTCGGCCTTTAGTGCGCCTATTTCTGCTTGTGCATCCTTGTACATGCGCTGGAGCAGAGAGAGTTGGGCGTTGACCTGGTAGAGCTCACTCGTTTTGTTTTGTAGTCGATGCGCCAACTTAGGGGGAGAAATCATTTTGCTAACATACTTGTTAAACCCTTTTGAGATGAACTCCTCATGAAAGAAATTGAAGATTGAAAAGCTTCCATCTTTTGAACCTAACGTATGCCTCATATACTCTCTTAAGCTTTTGAGGTAAAAATTCTATCTTATTTCCTTTGAGCTAATACTGTTATTACTTTGATATGAAAAAGATTGATTATGCTTCATATGATTTGTAATGTATACTCTTTGATGATGCTCTTGCCTAAAAATCACGCCTATGCTTAAAATGTGTGCCATATATTGAAATTCATGATTTTTCTTGGCATATGAATTGCTATACCTTGAACATGCTTCATTTTTTGGATTTACATTAGCTCCATGAGATTATATTGCGTTTAACCTATTATGAGCAATATTTGGTATTCTACATAATATTTGAGCTATGATTGTTAAACCTTCTAGATTACATATTGGTATCCTTAATAGATTGCATGTTGGTATCATTTTAGCATCCTTATTGGTAACATTTGGCATCCTATTTGATATTATTGAGGAGAACATTTAAGTTATGAGCTTTCATTGTTCATATCTTCTATTGATTTTGCCAAATGAAAAAAGGGGAAGAATTTAAACTTGATTAGTTTTAAACTGTGTAGTTTTTTTTGGGTTCTGCATCTTTAGGTAAAATTAACTTTGCATACATTGATTTTTTTTTAAATCCTCATGGTATTTTATATGCATTACCATTCTAGCAATACCAATGTCCTATTAAGTTTAATTTCTGCTGGTATTATTTTATTTTATTTTACTTTACTTTTTCACAACCTTTTTGTTGGACCAATCCATTTTATTATTATAATACCCAAATTCCCAAATTTATGAACATCAAAATGCACCAATTATAAACTCTTAAAAATAAAAATAACAGACGCAAAACTGATTGTCCATTTAAGTTTTTAAAAACAGATTTTATAACATAGATTTGAAATTCAAACTTACGAAGAAACATTAAATAATTAATTAACTCGTATGCTAGCAAATAAATAAATAAGAAAAAAAAAAAAAAAAAAAATACAAAAATACAAAAACAAAACAACCCTTCATTTTTTTCCGGCCATACACCGACCTCACTTACTCGCCTCTTCCACCGTTTTCTTCTTCTTTTTATCACCTTGGGCGACCCTTGATGCCCCTGCCCCCGTGTTTTTGTCGAGAGCGACGATTCCTCGTTGACTATCAAAGGCCAAGAATGACGTTGCTCCAAATCGGGCCGTGGAGGTGGTCTTCTGTTTAAGCTCTTTATTTTCGACCTTCAGTGCGCCTATTTCTGCTCGTGCATCCTTGTACATGTGCTGAAGCAGAGAGAGTTGGGCGTTGATTTGATGGAGCTCACTCATCCTGTTCTGCAATCGGTGAGCCAATTTTGTGACTGCAGTCACCGTCTCTATACAGGACGTCAGTGTGAAATGATTGGCTTCAGTGTCTGATTGAGCTGCCATTATTTGCTCAATCGACATCATAGGAAGGTTGGGAAGAGTGGGAGCCGGGGCACTCGGCTCAGCAGTGCTTCTGGGATCATTCAGGTCCGGAAAGAGAGTAAGGGGACGGGACGAGGCCATGTAGTAGGAGAGAGAGATGTAATCGAAAGGGGAGTAAGTTTTGGCAACCTTTCTGCTCTACTCAGTCTCTCTGTTCTATCTCTCTCACGAAGCGAATGAGGAAGAAGAAGACGAAGAGAGTGATTAAGAAGAAGACGGAGGAGAAGACGACAAGAGGGAGAGAGAGCCGAGGCAGCTGATTGACTGATTGACCCGTCTCACTTTTGTCAGTCAGCTGACGCAAAAGCGAGGACGCTTGTCTGACGCGATTTTCGACGAACAAAAAAAAGACGCGGGCGAATCCTATATCTATATATATATATATATAGATATATATATATATATGTGTATATATCTATTTTGATTATCTATTTTTTGATGTCATTTATCACTATTAGTTTCCTCCTCCTCCTCTAGATTCTGAGCTATAATTTCCTTTTGATAATGTCACAGGGGGAGAAAATTACATGATGTTATGTATTATGGTCTTATTTTCAAACTAATTTGATATTACGTATTTATAGTTTAATATCTTAATCTTATATCATGTTATTGATTAAAACTTATTTATTACACATGTGCTAGCCTGTGTATTTAGAAATGAATTCAGTGAGCATGACTTGAGGGGGAGCCCAAAATCAAATTAAAACATCATTGTGTGCCATCATCAAAAAGGGGGAGATTGTTAGACTTATTTATTTTGATGATTTATTTAATTATGTTTTAATTTATTTGAAAGAGAAAAATAGAATCCAAAATTTATTTTGATGATTTCTTTAATTATATTTTAATCAAAATTTATTTTGATGATTTATTTGAAAGAGAAAAATAGAATCAAAATTTATTTTGTCGCATTATTTCTCACCTAAACCTTTATCATAAATGTTGTTAGAATGTATTTAATATTTGATTAAATCAGGAGTTCAAATAGCCCAAAACAAATGTTCAAACAGCCTAGCACAGCAGCAGGCCAAAAGGTTCAAGTGAAAGATATTCAAATTAGTAATGATGGAAGTACAACGACTATAAACGGCTATAAAAGTTCAAAAGGTCAAAAGGTTCAAAAGATTCAAGTGAAAAATATTCAAATTTGTAATGATGGAGTGAAAGATATTCAAATTGATAATGATGGAAGTACAACGGCTATAAACGGCTATAAATTCAAATGAATACAACGGCTATAAACGGCTATAATTTTCATTATATATACCAAAGTCTCTAATGTAAACAAGTTACAAAAAACTTGAAAATATTCTTTGATCTATAATTACTTACATCTATTCTCAGAAATTACATACTGAGCCTTATAGCATTAAGCTCATCTTTCTTGTGTGATATTTACAGAAAAATCAAAACTTCATTTTATATATCTATCTTTGAGAGATATTTATTGTAAGCTTTCTTTGAAAGCAAAAATACCATTTCATCTTGTAAAAGTGTTGCAAACACTGTGTTCTTGAAATTTTGAGAGTGATTGTGAATCACTTAAGATTTCCAAGGGTTTGGACTTGTGAAGTCTGTGTAAAATCTGTGGAGGATTGCTCCATTTGTAAAAAGGTTGCTAGCATCCCTGTGAAGCTAGAAGATAGTGGAAAATCTCAAGTGAAGCTTAAGGAGTGAACGTAGGCCGAGTTGAAGCCGAACCACTATAAATTTATTTGCCTCTATCTCGCTTATCTCTTTATTTTATTTTAAATTGCCATAGCTATATTTCACATTTTTACTGTGTTAAAATCATTAACTGACATAGTTGTTAAGACACTTGTTTTAATTATTTTTATTTCATTGATTATATTTATCTATTGTGCTATTCATAATTTTTATTAAGGTATTATTAATTTTAATTGTAAAAACTTAATTCACTCCCCTCTTAGATTGTCTTTATGTAACACATATAAATGCTATTTCTTCACTAGCCAAATCCAGCCTACTTAGGGGGGAAAGAAAAACTAGGGTCCTGGCTTGAGCAAGCCGGATTATTGATAGGTCGATATGTTTAGACAATCCCTTAGTCCAATCAAGTGTATGCCGCCTAAGAGTATTGTTCAGTTAAATACTCTACCCCTAATATCATGACAGAACACCTCTCAATCATAAAACATACTAGTCATAACTGACCTGAATTTTCAAGCATCAACGTGTCTGAGATGTGAATTTCAGTAATATGCAGATTATGAAATACGAACACAGGACAATGGTTGCTGCAGAATGTGCCTTACTGGGTAAACGTATACCTAATAAAGCTTGACTACCCAGAGGTTAAATTGCCATAAGTTATTTTACAGGCAAGACCAAATATTCTGGTGGTTTCTGTTCCAGAGTGCATGATTTCAAACATCATAAAGTTTGTTTCCAGCGCCAATTTAGCGATCCAAAACAAATGTTTCCAATATGTCAATAATTAAAACCTAGGAAACATAGATAACCTATATAAGTACACTTATGTAGATAAGTGTACTTATTTGGGTCACATCACCTTCTTACTTTTCTGTACATTTTTTCGTAAAAAATCAAAAAGTATACTTATTTAGATCATTTCAAATACCCCTTCAAGACGATATGGATACGGTGATACTATACGAATACATTATCAAAAAATATTTTTCAGGTCCTCGTAAAAATAAATATGTACAAGTAATTTTATTTCCGTTTCATTTTCTCTCAACAAATTCTTGATCCAACATGCGTTAATGAAATGACAGACAAACAAGTGCCGCCTATTTTTGCCAGGTGTCATCAATTTGGAGCGATTAAAATAAATTCTCTATAGAATTTCAAAGTGAAACAGAACAACAAAAAACTCTAGAAAAAGTAAGAGTCTGTATTCTTAGGAAGTTTCAGAAAGTCTACAAATTTGAACCCCTTAAAATATAGGAAATATTTGAGAAAGTTGGTCACCCACAAAACTAATCACTTGTCAAATATTCTCCTAAACCCTTAAACGAACAACAGAACAAGTTTCAAACATCTGAATACCCTTTAAAACTAAGTTATTGGCTATAGAAGTTTAGTCACCCACACTGGACAATCTCCATTTAACTGCTTTCCATATTTCCTATATAAGCCACACTCCTGTGTCTCTCCTTCCACAATACTTATCACACTAAAAACTTCAAGATTACTTACCAAGAAATCTCATTCAACTATCATTTCTGGTAACAATCCAAGAACTTCTAATGGCACGTCAAAGGATTGGGATGGGATTGGTGGTTCTATGATGGTGACCATGCTCTGGGAAGGAGCAGCAGCTCAGTCGTCGTCGAGTTGTACGAACGCAATAATTAGCATGTCACCATGCCTCAACTGCATTACAGGGAACTCTTCGACACCGTAGTCAGGATGCTGCACACAGCTTGCTAATGTTGTTCGCTCACAACCACAGTGCTTGTGCCAGCTGCTTAATGGTGGTGGATGATCTCTGGGGATCAATGTCAACCAAACTCTGGCTCTGGCCCTTGCCAGAGCTTGCAATGTTCAGACCCCACCGATAAGCCGTTGCAATTGTAAGAATTCAGACGGAAATTCATTATTCATCAACACGTCACTTAACAAAAATATATAAATAAAAAACCATGCCTTGTAAATGTGACATTAAAAATGTTTAAAATCTAGTCCTCTACTAACTTGTAACATCTCTGCCTGAGCCAGCTGGTTCCCCAGCTATGCCAAAAGGTTCCCTAGCTACACCAGCTGCTTCCACTGCTGAGTCACCTGCAGGCACACCAGAATCTCCTAACACAGTACCTTCAGGTATATAATTTATTTATTTTTATATTATTATCTTCATTACCATTTAGTAGAAATTATTCTGCTTTTATCGTACGTTAGGGTGTCGATAAAATCATATATATTGGTAGTTAAAATCCATTGGCATACATTTCAACCTTTCTAATGGCAAAATTTTGCATATCAAAACATTCACATTGATGTTTACATGGGTTTAGGAACAGGGTCTAAAACTGTACCATCAATGCAAAGCAGCTCATCAGATGCAGGTTCTACGACAATTTCTCTGCTCTTCTTCCTCATATTCATTGCATCTTATGGTTCAACCTCCTCTATTTGTTGAGTTCACCAATCTCATTGCTCCATGAGTCTTGCATAAACCCAGTTATTACTATGGGGTTTTTTTTGTTTTGTTGTTGTTGTTGTTGTTGTTGTTGTAAGGGTTTCCATTTCGTTGATGGAGTTTGTAGTGTTTATTCTTTGACCTCCTCTTTAGGGGTTGATATGGTTTTGTATAACTGAAGAGACTTCTTGGTCTCTTCCCTTTTCAAGGATGATTTCTGGTTAAAGAATGTCAACTGCAGGCTCAAATTCAGAGCAGGAGCATGAAGGAATTGGGGTCACTGCTGTGGCAAAGGCACAACAGTGACTGTTGTGCTTCATTTTTTGATGCATTATGGGATTATTTTTATGATCTGAACTGTTCATTTTGTAGGGTTTGTTGAGGTCTTCAAGCCTACCAAAAATCATATTAATCGAATATCGATAACTATATGATTGATAACCAAAAAAACAAACAAGAAGTTTTTCTTTTGAAAAATAGTATAAAAATATGCAATTCGATCATATAGTTGTTGATATCCGATTAATATGATTTTTGGTAGGCTTGAAGTACTCAACAAATACTACAAAATGAACGGTTCAGATCATAAAAATAAGCCCATAATGCATCACAAAATGAAACACAACAGTCACTGTTGTGCATTTGCCACAGCAGTGACCCCAAATCCGAGCATGAAATACAAAGGGTCATCTCTGGCAAAAACGTAGTAAAAATTAAAATTACCAAAGTGAAAGGAAATAATAAGCAAAATTTATAAACCAAGTTGAAGAAATAGTCAAATTTTCTATCATAACACACAAACCAAGAAACATAGACATGAACACGCGACACGACGTGGATATGCCAACACGTTAATTTCCAAAAACACTAATGCTTGAGACCACTAAAAGTGGTGCTCTAAAAGCACCACTAGTGATGTGGTAATGGACGGGACCCACTGCTTGTGTCTTATTTTTTTTTAATTTTTTTTTAAATGCTTGCCAACTCATTAGTGGTGCTTTAGAGCACCACTTTTAGTGGGATGTATCATTACCCTACAATGCACATGATGTATTCATCTTCTAAATGTTTCAAAACATATTTAGGATGCATAAATTATGTTTTGAAAAATGCAAAACATTTGTTATGATGAAGTAATTCATCCATAGGACATGTTCGGAGTGTTAAGGAAGTGTTTCCGAAGCGCCTGCAAAGTGTTTGGTAAAATGTCCAAATAATATGAATATGATTTTTTAATTAAGACACGCTGAAGAAGTGTCGACTATGCTTTTAGAAGGGTCCAAAGAGTGTTTTTCTTAGCATACATATGTACACTAACGTTGTGGTTGGTTGGAGATTTGGAAAGGCAAAAGCAAAAGGGTGAAATGTAAGTATATTTTATTCACATTTCACATATTTTTTCCATTTCTCTTTTCAAATACATCCTCAAATCTCCTAACCAAGCACAACATAAGTGAAATGGAGATATATTTTATTCATATATGACCTGATTTTGTCCTTTTCGTTTCCAAATCATTTTCCAAATTCCCTAACCAAACCCAACATAATAATACATGGAAGATAAGCATCCAAAAATTACCCTGTGCTGATAAGATTTTTCAAGCTCCTCAATAAATAGATACTATGAAACCGATTAAACTCAAATAAAGACAAAAGCAATACAATTTGTTGTACTCACAAGATCCAATAGACTGTAATTTCAAGTTCAAATTCAATGGCAGAAGCCATTTAAGGAAAAAATTTTTTTTCTTACTTTTGTTGTTGAAGATTTCAAGATGGTCCATCAAAGGCTAGTCCATGAACTTCCAATCCCAATCCTCGGACTTCAACACCAATGGCTCTGTCCCTAATTTTGCTCCCCGAAACCCTAACCCTAGCGCTCTCATTATCATCGAATTCCGTTGGTACTCGTCGCCGGCGACGGAGGAGGACAAGTTGGGGTGACGAATTGGATGGCGTCAGAGGAGACGCCTGTAAACGTCCCCGAACGCCCCGGGAGGAACGAGCTCCCGTTCCGTTCATTTGGGGTCACTACAGCTCAGGACTCTCAAATTTGTCACGGTTCTAAGTCTGAACCAAAGAGTCCAAATCCGGCAAATCGTTTTGAGAAAACAGATTTTGAAAGAAGTGCCAAACATGGACTGCTTTGCCAGATACAGAGTCGCCACCTAAATATTTTATTTTGGGAAATTTAGGAAACCCTGACTCGGTGCCAAAAGGCCACGCGTCCGTCATCACCAAAGGTTGCCTCGGCTCGGGAACTTGGGTACGATTGGGGAAGGTCACTTCGTGAGCACCCCCGCTCATATGATCTAATGGAATATTAAAAAAGAATATGAATATATTTTTAAAATGAAATTTACTAAAAAAATCCCTATTATAAACTATTTCAATATAAAAATAATTAAATACCACAAACTAATTTAATATGAAATAATTAAATATTATGTCAATATGAATACTAGATACTATAATATTGAAACTATTCATATCAATATAAATAGTGTGAATATTCATATAATAGTATAATACTAACATCATAACAATATTTATTATTAGAAAAAAATAAAAAAATTAGTAGAAAGGTCATTTTCGAGAACTTGTTTGGTCATAAAACGTAAAGAAATACTTGTAATCCAATGAGGCAAGGTACAAAATAAAAGGGAGAAAGACGTGGGGTTGGAAGACATACAACACACACACGCACACTTATTACAGTTGTGCCCTCGCGCGGAGGGTCCAAATAAGTATACAGTCCCAAATAAAAGAATATTACAGTCCAAATATTACAGTCCAAATAATATACAAATTCCTAATTAATTAACAAATCAACTAAGAAAATAAATAAAACTGGCGTGCAAGCCAGGGACTGTCTTGTTCCTGATGAATGATGCATGTCTGGGCTGCCTTGCGCGGAAATCCACTGGGATGCCCCAATTAGCCTCTGTTTTGTGATTTTTCTTGGAAAGCGCGCCAAACTCCGGAAGTTTGGTGATTCTTCATTTGCTGCAACAGATAGCAGGAAAGGGGCATAGTAATGTATTTTCACAAATATATGCATGCCTCGATCCTCGTGCCACCAATCACGCATATCGAGGCATGATGGCCGAGGAGTCGAATTGCACAATTTAATATAGGATGAATGCACATGAAAACACAACAATGCCTAACTCCATCATGGATGATCCGGAGTGTCGGTGACTGGGGAATTGAGATACATTCCGTCACTCGGAGTACGAAATGCGCCTCGTTTCCCGTGCCCGGGCTAACTCCTATTCTGAACACGATGCAATATGCATGATATGCATGAAATGCAACTAAGATACAATCCTAACATACACAATGCTATGGAAATGAGATGCCTCGAAATGCGTGCACACGGGCACGCAAACTGAGAAAATGACAGAATGCGATCTAAGATACAACCTAGTATGCACTATGCTATGAAAATGAGATGCCTCGAAATGCGTGCACACGGGCACGCAAACCGAGAAAACATGATGACATGAAAACATGATATGGGCTTAGACCAACATGAGAGAGCCTCAGCCACACTCACATAGAATGCCGATGGATGAAAATGAAGTGCCTCGAAATGCGTGCACACGGGCACGTAAACCGAGGCAATGGCATACGCAACGCAACATGGCAAAAATGGCATATAGAATGCAACATGGACTTACACTAACATGAGAGAGCCTCAGCCACACTCACATAAGAGGCCGATGGATGAAAATGAAGTGCCTCGAAATGCGTGAACACGGGCACGCAAACCGAGGCAATGGCATACGCAATGCAATGGCATGGAAAATGATATGCAAACATGATAAGGGAATTTCAGCACTGAAATGTGGGGGAAAAGAGCTCCGGAATGAGGCGAAAACACACCCGATGCATGGAATCTCTCCCGAAATGCAAAGTTAGGCGCATAGAATGAACTACAGCTATACAAAGCATGCATAATTGGTACATGGAATGAAAAGACAGAAGCAAGGCAGCCTCAAAATAAGCATTTTTCCAGTACAAATCATGGCCAAACAGCAAGCAAGGATAGGGCAACAATGGCATGCAAAAATGGCCCTAAACATGAGGCTATGAAGCAACTCACGGCTGCTAATTCCGAATAGGTTAGGACCCTTCAACAACATTGAAGAGGGGCCAAAAATAAGCCACTTTACAGAACTGTAAAAACCCTAAAAACAAACATAGATATAGCTAAGCTCTTATGCAATAAAAAGGGCCAAAATGTGGCCAAAGAGGCAAGTGGTATATGCAAAGCCCAAACTGAAAAATTCCCTTCTACAACATTGAAGAGGGACCAAAAATAAGCATGTTTACAGAATTGTAAAAACTCCAAAACAGTATACAAACATGCTAGAAATGCAATGCAAAATGAGGCTCACAAGAGGCTATAACACAAAGTCCACAAAATATTCACCAAACAGCCAAAGACCCTTAATGAAACATGTTAAGAAGGTCAAAATAAGACTATTTCTAGGCCTATAAAAAGACCAAAAACAGAAGCATGATAGGCTGCCAAAGCATGCAAGAAAAGGGGACCAAAGAGGGATATTGAAGCAAGTGCAATATGGAGGGCTCAAACAGGGTTGAGCCCTTAATGAAACAAGAAAATGAGCTCAAAAAAATGGCCTTTTCAGTTTTGGTCGGAGCTCAAATCAATAAGCATGTATGGCTAAGGAAAGATACCAAAATAAGCTCAAAAAAGGAAGAACACTACTTACCCTTGAAAGCTTGACTTTGGTTGCCTCTTGGCTTGAGTTTGTGGTTCCCTTAGGCCTTGGAGAACACCTCCTTGCTGCTGGAAATGGAGTGGTGGTGGTGGAGCTTGGTGTTGTAGAAGAAATGGTGGTGTAAGGCTTGGAGTTTCTTGCTTGAAAGAGAGGGATAGAGAGAGATTTTTGTATGCAAGTTTGAAGATGAATTTTTTCAACCCCTCTCACCAATGCCACCTGCTGGTTATATGGACCAAAAGGAGAAGGAGCATGGAAGGAAAGGGTGGGGGAAAAGGACCAAGCCTTTCCCCCACAAAAATATCCCCCGGATACAGATCTTTTCTGGGGGAAAAGGCTACACAGCTGTAAAGTGTATCACACAAGGAACATGGCCGGCCCATTATTGGACTTGGAAGTGGCCGGCCGGCCACCCCCCCTAGCCGGCCGGCTAGGGGTCAAAAAGGCCAAGTAGAAATAGTGGCCGGCCACCACATATTGGTGGCCTCTCAGGTCTCCTCTTCACAACCC